TGTTTGATGCAGAGAATGTTGGTTTGTCACTCTCATATGGATTGTCATTAAATTCCGTGATGTTCTGGGCTATATACATGAGTTGTTTCATTGAAAACAAGATGGTATCTGTTGAGAGGATCAAACAGTTCACAAATATTCCATCGGAAGCAACATGGAACATTAAGGATCGTCTGCCTCCTTCAAATTGGCCCGGTCAAGGCCATGTTGATATCAAAGATTTGCAGGTATTTAAAATATAACCTACTAGTACTGCATTATGATTATTTCTTGTGATAAAATTAATTATGCATTACAGTTGCAGTGGCTGAATTTGGGTAAGCTTCCTGTTCATGAGAGTTTTTTCAATTGTACAGGAATCCATTTCCACAATGTTACCATTAAAACTTTGACTAAACCTTTATTTTATTATAATAATTTTTTTTATTTTTAAAAGATTCATTTTAGGGTTAAATATGTTTTTAGTCCCTCAAATTTAAAACTGTTGTTTTTAGTTCCTGTAATTTTCAAAAATCTTGTTTTAATCCATTAGGTCACTAATAACATATTTGAAAGCGACTAATTAAGACAGTTATGCAATATCAACCGAATTTAATGTGATATTTTCACTAATAGGGACACAAATAGGTAGATTTTATGTAATAATGTTTGATAAATTTCTTAACAAAATTTGAATATAAGGACTAAAATAAGATTTTTTGAAATTACAGGAACTAAAAATAACAATTTTAAATTTGAGGGATTAAAAACAGATTTATCCTAAATTTGAGGGACTAAAAACATATTTAAGCCTTCATTTTATTTCTTTAACTTTGAAATTCGAGTTAATGTTTTCTTAAAAAAAAGTGACCATTTTCGATGTTAGAATCTGATTTTGAATGTGAAATTTTTTATTTTTTATTTTATATTTATCTACATGAGAATTATGGAACCAAGTAATTTTCGAACAAAATAGAGTCATAAACATTATGATGAAAATTGTGGGAAAAGTGAATTTAGCTGGTAATAAAAAAATTGAAAATTAAATATTAGATGAACTTAGATGAAGTTCTGAATTCTAACCATCTGTTAGAGAAAAAAAAATGAGTGACACTTGCAGGATTCTCAATAAATTCTTTGATTTCTTCCAAAAGCAGATGAAATCATCTTCTCATGTTCTATGAATTGTCGGCACATTGAGAAATATCTAAAAAAGATTTTAGCGCTAGGATTCTATCTCTGATTGTTCCGTTTGAAGAAAGGACTCAGCAAAGAATCGACTTTTCTTTTAGTTGAATTTGTGTTTGATTCACTTTTTCGGCAATTTTCATTATGTTTCTGGAAAAATTTTTGTTTAGACATTAATTTGAACCAATTTCTTATGGTGATTATTTAAACTTGTGGTAAACAGGTCAGATATCGTCCAAACACTCCTTTGGTTCTTAAAGGCATTACCTTAAGCATCGACGGAGGAGAAAAAATTGGCGTAGTTGGTAGAACAGGAAGTGGAAAATCAACTTTAATTCAAGTTTTCTTCAGACTGGTGGAACCCTCAGGAGGGAAAATAATCATTGATGGCATTGACATATCCGCCTTAGGGCTTCATGATCTCAGATCAAGGTTTGGTATCATCCCTCAGGAGCCTGTCCTTTTTGAAGGAACCGTAAGAAGTAACATCGATCCAACTAGACAGTATACAGATGAAGAAATATGGAAGGTGAATACGCTCAAACCCATTTACTTGCATGCTAAACTTCATTGACTTAATGGAAGAACTTTTTTTCATGGTTGGCCTAGTCTCATCATTTTTTAATTATTGATGTAGAGTTTGGAACGTTGTCAACTAAAAGACTCAGTGGCTTCTAAGCCTGAGAAACTTGACGCTTCAGGTATTAAACATTCTTATGCCATTTTCTTTGAGCTGCTTTAATTTCACTTGCATCCCATTTTTTATTCTTACTAATATTAATGCTGCTTGAACTTTATAGTGGTTGATAATGGAGATAACTGGAGCGTGGGGCAGAGACAGTTGCTTTGTTTAGGAAGGGTTATGCTTAAGCAAAGCAGGTTGTTGTTTATGGATGAGGCAACAGCTTCTGTTGACTCTCAAACCGATGCTATAATTCAGAGGATCATCAGAGAGGACTTTGCAGCACGTACCATCATAAGCATTGCTCATAGAATACCAACAGTTATGGACTGTGATAGAGTTCTAGTTATAGATGCAGGTATATATGATATTCTCTTATTACATATATAACATCTTATGGACTATACTATTTAATTTGTAGGCTAAGTTGTGTTCATGTTTTTCACTAATATAGGACGTGCCAAAGAATTTGACAAACCCTCCAACTTGCTCCAAAGGCAATCTCTCTTTGGGGCATTAGTTCAAGAGTATGCCAACCGCTCCAGTGGCCTTTAAGAAACTTTCAAGTGTCTACCTCCGCCATTGACATAGCAAGACAATAGAAGAAATCAAGGGAGCTTCAAAGTTCTAACATGGGAAGTGAATGACTTCCTCGATCAAGCAAGTTTCTTATTGATCATAGATATATTAATCTAATAATTCACTGGTCAAAATTGGTGACCTGATGTAAAGGTGTTAAGCAGAAATTTTTATGATTACATGCATGTAGAACTTGCGTCAATTTTATATTTAAAACAGTTCTAATTAGGTAATATATTTATAAGTTTTGATTATGCGTGTTTTATTCATGTTTTGGTATTTAATCTTTAATTAAGGATGAAATTTACAATGTATAAGATACATTATCTTGGGTTTATTTTAATATATATATATATATAGATATATATTGAGGAGGGCTACAAGTCATAGAAAGATCTATTGCATATATTAACCCAAAAAAAAAAAAA